TCGTTATAAATAGAATTGAAAATAGAGCAAAGATTATTTATATCGGGCGATAACGATCACATTTCTTAAAGTATACACCAACGATAAGTGCGTATGATACGAACTCGCGAAATCTATTGTCGGCAATCATAAATAAACGACAAAGATTAAGATAACATAAATTCCAAATTAATTGATCATTAATTATTTATCTTTTATAAGTACCGAAATTGATTTTCACGTGATAATACAACAGATTTTTGCAATGGCAAGTATCTTATAAATTTACTTCCTGTATCACATTAAATTAGAAAAATTGAAATTAATTTAATTATTCAATATAATATAGTTCATATCTTTTCTCTTATATATCTTCACAAATATGTGCAGAATAATGGAAGTTCCAAAAAGTAGTTTCTTATTTACCAGAAGATTTTCACACGACTTTCCCTTCGCATAGCTTAATGCTTAGTATGTCACTGCCGTGAGCTGTGGAACTGAAAGCGCAAATAGCCGGTCTAATCGCGATAAGAGAGATGCCTTTATATTAAATATCCAAATTGCCTCTACTTTATATGACAAAGGCGCCAATTACGAATGACGAGCGCGAGCTACGCGCATCGAAAACAATCCCAAAGGTCGGTATATGTGCGCAATAATTTATCACGTAAAAAGGTGCGATCTAGTGATTATAATTTACGTTGGAATATCTTTTTTCGAATACAGATTTCAATTTTAAATCGATCGCAAATGATCAATTGCGCGGCAATTACCACTCCCTTCTGTAGCTAGATGTTAACGTTTAACGATCAGGAAGGATAGTGGTTATGATGAAAGATTCATCAGGTACCGTATATAAGTAATATATCGGAAACTTGCAAGATAACATCCGTGACCGTGACTCGTTCTGTGACGTACGATTGGCATTCGATATATCGAGCGGTCGTCTTTACTTCCTAGAACACCCAGAAATCCTATTCGCGAACTGAATAATATTTAGTTTTAATTCTTTTACCTAACGCACGTCTTACATTGAAAAAATTATTGAATTAATAAATATGTATTTCCGGGCCTAATAAATCGTTCATTTAAATCAAATGAATATTCATTTGTTTTGAAAAGGATTTTCTTATATTGATCGAATAATATTTGTCACATCAAATCAATATTATTAGTTTCAAATAAATAATTTATTAGGCAATATTGAAATAAATATTTATTCGAATTTAATTAATTTTTTTCAGTGTATAACGAACATAAGTTCCTAAAAATTATTTAAATTCAATAAAATTTATGTTTCCTCTCGAAATATATATACGTGTGCAGTTTAATTTTTTTTTATTATAAATGCATCTTTATAATGTAGGTATATATGTATATCTAATTATTTACATAAAATTAAATTTTATTATTATCAAGCAGAAAAGATATTAGATTTGAAGAGATTAATAAAAAAATATGACTAATAATTTTTAATCCTATGTTATTAAATATACGAAAATTATTAAACAGTATCTACACAGAAAAATTATTAACTGAAAATATATTATATTAGTATTTAAGTCAAATATATATATGTTTTGATAGATTTAATATGCTATATTTATTTTAAATATTTTATATGTTCAATTAGCAAAATGATATTCAATTGAAAGGTTTAGTCAACACATTTTATCTTCAGTATACTAAAATATATAAAATTGCTAGGTAAATAATATCATCAATTCATTCTTTGACAGATCAAAGGAATTGCGAATCGGGAACATTCAATCGGAACAGATCGATTCACGCGCGCATCGAACAATTTATGAAATGTACACGCGAAGTGGGATATTATTATTATAGTGCGCAAAGCGAGACGAGTAGCATCCACGATTTATAGCACTTGTTTGCCGTTATGTACCGTGGATTGGATATGGAAATAGATTATTGTGCACGATAAAGAATGACGCGTTAGGGGATAAAGGCAGATGGGAGGAGACGGGAAGGAGAAGAGGAAGAAACATACGCATATATGTATACGTATATTGTGAAAACGTCTTCTGTAAGAGGCCTCAAGGCGTGGGTCGTTTTATCGTTCCGGGGCCCTCCGGTTCTTATAGGCTCGGGCCTCTCGAGATGATACAGAGAGCTTGATACAGCGTGGCGATAAACAGAATTAAAGGGGAATCTCCACCCTTCTCCTCTTCCAGGGTGTCCAGCAGACTCAATGAAAAAAATTCTCTGACTTTTTAGTATTATTTTTTTCAAATATATATATGATTTTTGCATATATCTATATGATAAATCAATTAAATGTTAAATCATAAAATCCTTGAGAAAGTTAAAAAAACAAACATTTAAATCAATTATACAATCTGGATTATGTACGAATCGAAACAAACATGTTACTATAAACTATTTAAATAATCACCTTTTTTATTTATATTATATCAATTTTTTTAGTTTTGTCTCTATCAAACACATTGAAATAAAATAACACGACGATGAAAATATAAATTAACGAACACGCTGTAGATGAATCGATTTTTAACATAGAAAATTAGCGTGCTTGGAGTTAAGGAAAAGTTTATATTTAGTTAATAAAAAATTACAAATTATTATAAGACAAATGTAGAATAATGTGAAAAAATTCAGATAAATAGTAACATTTCCTGACTTTTCCAGATTTCCTGACAATTCCAGATTTATAAAATTCCCTGGCAATGCCCGGTTTTCCAGATTTCCCTTGACCGCTAGACACTCGGTCTTCCCCGAATCAATCAAATTTGTCGGAGAAGCGCGTAATCGGATAAATGAGAAGCCGCGGTATTGATTACGACAACGGGGAAAATGAAAGTTTCATTCGAAACAACACACACACACATCGCATATATAGGCGCGTCGTTTCGCACTCATTGCGTTTCTCGTTCTTTTGCAATTTTCTCGTCTCATTGCAACCGCCTTATTTTTAGATATAAAGACTCAGGCACATTACGCACTTTCTATAATATGTTTGATCGACAGGTAAACATATGGAGAACCGAGATAACGAGGATTTTCTTTTCTTTTTATCTTTGCACTACATATCTTTCTGAAGACGAAGTGTAGTCGATAACGAGTCCTATCCTATTTATATTGTTCATCAAGCTGTCGCGCACGTGAGCGATTTTTTTCAGATTTTTATGAAGGTCGCGCTATTTAAGCTCATGACATACAAAAATTCGTAAGCAATAAAGAAATCAATATTTTTCACGTGTTTGTCTCACAATCGATCCATGAAAATATATCATGCGTTTGATTATGTCTGTTTATGTTTTTGTGTGCCATGGGGACCTTAAGAGCCGCAACTGTCAAGTGAAAACACGTGCGAGCATTTGTTGACGAACAGAGTTTCGAATTATTTCTGACCTAAGCGTGTAAGCTAGGTAGCCCAGGTGAAAGCAGTGCACCTGAGTGAAAGTCAAATTCACCGCGCCCGTCTCTCTCTCGGAACTTTTATTATAAGTGTCGTTAATCGGCGGAGATAAAAAGTTAATGACAAGGCCGATGCAGTGGGTTTGACGCGTCGCGCAAATCAACACCGACGCAGCGATTTGAAAGCGAAAGGATCGTTCTTCGATATTATATGTATTCATACGTAGTCGGTGCTCGATCGCTTCTTTTTCTATATATCATTTTATTCGTATTAATAATACATGGTGTTAAAACCATGAGGAATTGCTCAGGAATCTTAATGTATAATATAATTTTTGATGTATTTTATTAATGAGAGGAATGTTAAATATTCTAGCAAGTATATTATAAAATAAGTATTATGAAATAAATAAATATATATTTTAAAAATCGATGATTAAAAGAAATTGATAAGGTAATTTAAAAAATTAAATTTCCTTTAAAGTTTATCTATTAAAGAAAAATCGATTGTAATGTCGCGTGTAAACAATATTCTAATCACTTTAAATCATTCTGTATGCATGTATTAGAATAATTGCCAGCTTTTAAACTTGCGAATGTAATAAAATGCAATCGTGATAAAAGCAAATTACTGAACTTAAAAATAAATGACGATCTATTTGCGTTCGCAATAAACTAGATTAATATTCAAATGAAATCGATAGAAGCATAAACAGCAGTAATAAAAATTTCTTATTTTTCTGAATTAATAATTTGCAATGCTAGTTAGTTTAATGATGCGATAATTATTCTAGTTAATGTATAATATATACAAAATGCTACAAAATACAATAATATTTTAATTTTATATTGCATGTGTCTGACAATAAGTTATATATATATATGAATATAACTTACAATAATTCTCTCATAAATATTTATATCATGTTTTTTTATTTAAAGCATTTGTAACGGACACTAATTTTTAGTAACCATTAACTAAGAGAAATTCAACTCATTTTATGCTTTAGTCTTTCTGCATAGCGCGCTTCAAAATTGCAGGATATAATTTTTTTCACCTATTTATAGAATTTAGTTTGCAAAAAACTTGCAAACAAAAATTTTTAATTGTTTATAATTTAAAAAGCGCATTGGTCCTTCGAAAGATATTTTTGTTAAGAAAAAAAATGGCTGCAAAAATTGATTCAAAATTCGCGAATAAAATATAAATAGCGTCCCAGATATCCCATTATAAATTGAAAGCAGATAAAAGAATATTTTCGCATAAAAGTAAACGAATTGCACAACGCGACCCGGCACGATGCACTCGTGCATTCCGATACGTGTCGCTGCGATCGATTCACGTTAACCGATGTCCCGCATTCCACCTGTCAGAATCAGAAGGTGGCTTCGCGCACATTCACAGATCCAAAGAAAAAAAAAGGAGCGCGATGAGAGAGAAGAGGAGGGCAGCGAAACACACGATCCACGAAATACAATCAACCTGAAAAATTCTTGTTGTCTCTCAATATGGCAGTGGCTCGCGCGCACACATCTACATATGCATGTACAAGTAGCGCGTACACACGTTCATGTACGCGGAGTATATATACACACGTATGACACGGATTATAATGAAATCTTACCGTTTTACCAGCCATCGTCGATCGACCGGCCGCGCCGCATTCTTCCTGCAAATTTTCTCACGGTGGAGAGGGAATCTGATTGGAGTCGCAGTTCACTCCGAAATTGATATATTTTCTTCAAAGGTAGATTCTTCCAGGTCGATGCCGATCCTCGCGTCCACCTTCACGATCCTGTCCCACGCGTGTCAATAATTGTTGCTTACGCAGCCTTGCTTCACGTTGTTTTCAGAGTGTAAAGGAGACTCGTGATAGACGTTCGAACACGCACCGCGATCACGAATAATCGCGCACGACGCGGAGTAATGAATAATAAAAAAAAGGGCTCAAAGAATGCAAGTTCTGTGTACGTACGACGCGAAAGGACGAGGCATACCGATCACTCGAGCCAGCAACGCTCGCCACAACATAACTGGATGTTGCTTGGTGGGGGAAACTGAACCGTCGCGAAGAAAGACGAAAGACGCGCAGGAAAGAAGGGGAAAGGCCGCGTAAGTAGGGGAGGGATAGGGCGTGGGACAGTAGAATTAAAGAGAGAGAGGGGAAAGGCCTCTTATACCAGACATCGGTAGGAGGAAGACTGATCGGTGGATAGAGATGTACAAACAGCATCGTTTTTATCCATTTCCGCCCAACATTGCAAAAATGTTGAATTTATGCTCTTTCTTTCTCTTTGTTTTTTTTTTTTTTTTTTTTTTTTTTTAATAGCAATTGCAAAATAATATTATAAGAGGTAATTATATTTAACGCGCGACTTTCTTTAAGACACAATTATTCCAAATGAATTGAAATGTTTGATTAATCTAAATCACTCTTTTCTTCGAACACTGAAAAAATTTGGTAATTTGACTAATAACCTTTCAACTAAATTATTATTTTGTTAATTGGATATATATTAATATTTAAGTCAAATATACGTTTTGTTAGATTTAATATATTATATTTAATTTAAATATTTATATATATGTTTAATTAAGAAAATAATATTTGGTTGAAAGATTTAATCAAGTTAATAATTTTTTTAGTATATGTATACATATATTTGATCTTAAATAACAGAAGAACGTATAATTTCCTTTAGCAAAGCATAACTATGTATATAAATCTAAAAATGAGATTTATATTATTGATTCATTAGTTTCAAATTGTCAAACAAATTTTGCATAAGTCAATTCAAAGCTTAGAACTTTGCATATGCATTGAAAAAGAATATGACCATGAGAATATTTCCAATGTATTCAATAATGTAAGACAATAAATAAATATCTTGTGTGTTTCTGTTATCCTATCTTGTTATGTTTTTACGTAAATATAGATGATTTTAAAAGAAAAAGAGAAAGAAAGGTGATTGCAACATAGTTGCATAAATATCTAAAGTCAATATATGAATGGATTAGATAAATCGAAAGATATACCCATATTTTAGCATGTCTTACAATTAAACATTGCGTAATGTTGTCCATACAATTTCTAGTATAAATATGCACCGTCTATAAACCCTGTTATAAGATCGCGTGATTTCTGCTCCGATAATAACATCACGAATTAATCTCTTTTATTTATCGAGCAAGAACGAGTCTGATGACGTCAAAATATTTATTTTTATTCTATCTCGCTTTATTTGCTTTTATTCTTGTCTTACCTTTGCCCAAATAAGCCGCCAACAAAATTTATAAAATAATCCTTGGAATATAAACAAAGCCATGCTTCAGATAATGGTTTTTGTAACATTACATGTTCCAAATTTTTAAGAACATTGTGCTTACAAAATTATGCGAGGATGTATGAAATGCTATAGATAAAATTGATTTTTGGAAAGCAAAAATAATAAAACATCTCTTGAACAGTATATTTCTAAATGTTAATGATTAATTAATTATGTTACTGTTATTGACTAATTAATTGTCGTGGTAGGTGTTTCCTATATCATTCGTTAAGCGTTGAGTTGATATCGACTTTAAGCAATATCTTTTACAGTGCCTACACAATATATGCTGGAGCTTTTTTGCATAGGAATGTATCTGGCCTAACTATGTCTAGTGCAAATTAGTTATTTGCGTTTACAATACATAATCTTTTTCATACGTGGCGCGACGTTGCAGTGTCGCGCAGCAGGTGTAATTAAAAAATTCCAAGAAACAGCTAAGTGGGAAAGCATTAATAGCGGCGCTAACGTATAATAGCGCATTGTACACCTTCGTGAAGACTTTCGCAGAGTGCACATAATTCACATCGTGTTTTCGATGTCTTTATATAACATTTAAAATATTCTGAGCAGCTGAGTTTATCGTGGATGAGTTCATATGGAAAATATTAACAATTTTCTTTTTATTGATTTGTTCATTCAACTATTATATTTGCAAATATTATTTCTGAATATATTTTTGAAAATAAATATTTAAAGATTATTGAATCTTTATATAAAAAAGTTATGTATCTTCAAACATAATCTAATGTTATTTATCTTTAATATAGTTATATAAAAAAATAAATGATTTTTCGATAGTGCACATTTCCATTTATACTGTTGAAACTATAAAAATTCATATCACCAAAATGTTGCGTAATGCCCCAATTATAAAAATACATACATTATTTAATACGACTCACCGACCGATGCACAACAGCGGAGTTAATCTGCATTGTAGCTACGCTGATCTGTAACAAATAAAATTCAAATTATAGCAACGCAATAATAATTAATTATTCTAAACATTATCATTATTACTCATTAAATTTTGTGTTTAATGCATATAATAATCAATAAATATATAATTAGATAAATTAAAAAATTGTGTAAAGATAATTTTTTTTAATATAAACTTTTATAAGAACTTTTATTTATCAAAAATATTTTTTTAAATTCTCTTGCTTTGTTAAAATATAGGAATAAAATTAAAGTATAATGCGATTTATAACAAGTATTGCATACAAATAAAAAAATTTACCTCAAGGTTGCTCCGCTGGCACCCGTTGCCTCCTGGCCTGCTCTTCCTCTCAGGTTGATCAAAATCCTTTGATTTACACGTGCAATTTAAACGGCACTCCCGCACTAGAACGCTCGACACTTTTAGATGGCACTTCCGCACTTTTCACGGCAAAATGTCTTACTCAATTTGTCGATGTCAGCTACGTTGACCTGTAACATACAAATTAAATCTAAGTTGTAACAGTGCTCAAATAATTTGATATTTCAGAAAATTATTATTGTACACATTTATTATAAAATTTAATGCGTACAGTAATATAAAATATATGCGTTTTACAACAAATATCTATATTATACATAATAAATAATATTTACCCCAAGGTTGCTCCATCGGTTCCCGATGCCTCCTAGGCCTGTTCCTCCTCTCAGATTGGTCAGGACTGTTTGTAAATTAAAATCTTTTGATTTACACGCGCGATAAACGGCACTCCCGCACTAAAACGCCCGACAGTTTAGACGGCACTCCCGCACTTGGCACAGCAAAATGTCTTACTCAATTTGTCAATGTCAGCTACGTTGATCTGTAACATATAAATTAAATCTATAAGTTGTGGCAGCGCTCAAATAATTTAATATTTCAGAAAAAAAGATAATTTTTCCAAAATTTATATAAAATAATTTAATTTTATATCTATTTTATTATTGTACGCATTGAATATAAAATTTAATGCATAAAATATAAATATAATATAAAATATAGATATAAATATAAAATACCAAAATAATTTTTCAAAAATTTATATAAAATTACTCAATTATAAATCTATTTTATTATTGTACACGGAAAAAATTTTCTTTTAGAATTTATTCTGAAAATCGTGGTAATCGTAGGACAATATAATATTGGAAGAATTTTATAAGAGTTTCCCTAATTAATATTTACCACAATAAAAAATCCTAATATGTATATAGTAAAATTAATCAAACATATTTTTATATCTTATTATGATAGATATTAATATTTTTATTGTGGTAAAAATATTAATCAGAGAAATTCTTATAAAATTCTTCCAATACCATATTTTCCTACGATTACAATAATTATTTTCAGGATAAATTCCAAGAAAAAATTTTCTCTGTGTACACATTGAATATAAAATTCAGTATTAATAATTTAACCAATTTTGGAAGAATTTTTTTAAAATTAAAACTTTTATAAGATTTTTATATGTATGTAGTTCAAAATTTCTATTGTTTAAATCGTTCAAATAACGACCTAACTTATTGAGCGTAAAATTTTGTTTTATTTTATTGAAAATAATTGTTTCAAATAATAATTAATAAATAACAAATCATTTACCTCATGTTAACCTAGCCATTTCTTGATGCCACCTCGGACCTTCTCCTCTCTCTTCACTCTATTTCACTGCTATTTCTTCGTGGCATTCGCTATAACGAAACCAATTCATTATTAATTAAACGCGCACTGGCAAAAACAATTAATCATGATTACACGCGCCCGTAATTACCCTCAAATACAATTAATAAACGCACGACACTTTTAGCGCACAATTCGACATTTTCGACTTCAGCGGCGATACACAATAATACACATTTAGCGGGAAAATAACGCGGGAAAAGCTCACGAAATTCGATACTCGCGAACTCTCGCGATGTCGTTAGGTACTAATTTTGCAAGTGCGCCAACAGCAAAAATTATTAACAAATCATCGATTGTTGTACAAACTGTATTTATACGTTATGTTGCTACGCGACCGAAAATTAATATTGAAATAATATGCTTCAATAATAACATGACAAATAATTGTTGTAAATTTAACACGAGACAATAATTAATATATGTAAATTTATATCGCGTCGAAATTTACTTGAATAAATAAAAGTACGAGAAAAGTGCATAAAATATTTTCCGCAAACATTTAATCGCGTAATCGAATATAATTACGCGGATTTATAATTATATTTATACACAATAATTGCGATCTTTTTCACGATTTCGAATAATTACACATAAAAATATGCACAATTTTCGACAAAATAAAAAATTCGCTTTATCAATATAAAAATATAAATAATGAAATTAATTCGACTCACATTTTATTCTTCTTCTCCGATCTCGATATTATACAATTAATCTATGTGCTTCTCGCTCTTTTGCTAAATATTCCGACTTGACAATTCCCGAGAAAGTGTTGTACCTTATTGAAATAAAACAATAATAATGGCGACGCGATAGTTGTAGTCGGCCTGCGATTTTCACGAGAATTTACGAGCTTCTTTATCTCGTCACGATATTTCGACACGATGACGCGGAAGTACGACCGGAAACGCGCGATCGCCCACTCAGAACAAGACCGACAACGGTAAAAAAGCTCCGGAAATTCGTGTCGGAAGGGCAGCCGGTCTCTCGCGATGCAAGTGCGAACTTTCGGCGACTCGAGTCTGAAGTCAGGCACTGTGACGTCATCAGCGTCGTTTTCGAAGGAACGAACGTCGAGCGAGGTTCACGGTCAATTTTGACAGACGAGGTCGATCTCGCGCGTGCGATCGCGAATTCGGTATACGAAACGCAGTCGAATGTATATGAGGATTAGCGATATTATACAATAATTAGAGACATTAATTAATAATTAATACTTACGCTCACGCTCATACTTTTGCGGACCGGTGATGACCGCGCGAATGTTTGATCGAGAACGAGTGAGCAAATACAGATGGCAGCATTCTAGAGTGTGTTCGGAAATCCGTCCGTCAAAGTTCGGAATTCGACCGACCAATCGGAGACCGAGGAGCTCTCTTCCCTGATTGGTCGATCGAACGCTTTGCCCTGGCTGACCGTATTTTCGAACACAATTTAGAATGCTGATGGCTGATGGTTGCACGTGGTGTGACCAGGTGTGACAGAAAGGTCTTCCTGTGAGAAAAAAATAGAATAGAATTTTTATCGTATTCTGTAAGAATTACGTTCTGGATGGAAAAGCTTTAAAAATAAAGTAAAGAAGAAAAATAATTTTATTACACGAGAATTCTTTCTTGCTGGTAAATAAACCACAATTCGACTTTTCAAATATAGAAATTTATGATCTTATTTTTTCATCATATATTTATATATTTCTTCTCATTTGTTAGCGAAAATCTAAAAAAGAAAAGAAGAAAAGAATGGAGTTTATGCACTTTGATAATGACGATGTGCCGTTTGATAATCAAGAGGTATGAAGTACTTTTCGTAAATTTTCTAAATATTTTGTACAGTTTATACAAATCTTGTTTTATATTTTAGATTGAGACAGCACAACAAACCATTATAAAAAATATCAATTCTCATTTAAATCAAGCACGATACGATGGTTTACTTATGCTGGATAGATTTCTGCCTACTTGTTCCAAGGATGCATTATCAAAGTATGGTTCATTCTGGATAACCAATGCTATTAAAATTGTGGAAAATGTGCATAGTAGTACACAAGATTTAACACTGGCATGCAAAGTGTTAGGATTTCTAATCGAACATTGCAAAAATATCCCAGAATTACATAAGCAGATTTCCACACGAAATATAAAACAAATCATAAGTGCACTTACTGCTTTACAAGTAGAGGCAAAATGTGGAGCGGTGTATTATTTAATAGCTGTTATGGTATATCATTACCCTGAAGTTTGCGACCGATTTCAGGTAACAAAATGGACTACAGTTTATTTTAAGCTAAATATTTTACATTAAATGTAAAATTTAATGAACATTGAATTAAATTTATTAAATTTGGTATATTTGTATAAAGTAAGTCATTTTAATGTTTTTCAGGAATTGATAAAGAAAATGATATTACTACAAATTGATTCTACAGATGAAAATTTGGTTATTGCAAGTGCAAAGTGCTATGTTCTTCTTTCTAAAGCAACAGAGCGTTCATTTAAATCACCAGAAGCTACATCTGCATATACCAGATTCATATATAATGAAATGTTGCTTTGTAATAGTTTACATGCTATAATGGATGAATTATTTTGTGAATTAATCGAACTGGAAAATGTGGATATTGGAGATCATTTAGAATTATTATCCATAACTGATAAGAACATAGTACAAAATTACAACAAACAGAAACAGAGATTTTCAAATTTGTGCATCTATCTCTCCACAATGTTGCAGTAATTTTAAATTTATATTACTAAATAATTATTTATATTTTCAATATCATTCTCTTTTAAATATGTGCATAAGTCTTGAGATATACATAATTGATTTATAATTGCAGGGGATATGAAGCAAGAAGTTCTGTTTTGCCTCAGATTATTTTACAGGTTTTGTGTCGAGGATTGACAATTACACCATTAAATATAAAAAACAAAACTTCTTCTAAGGAACAGATGTTATATGTAATCTTACCAAAATTACATATCAGTTTGCTCTCAGTTTTGGATGCATTAATAAATAGGTACAAATGCTGATAAAATATTACGTCTGTTGAATTAAGCAATATGAATTACATAATATTAAGTAAATTAATAGTATATTATATATATAATTAAATAATTATAATAATAATATATATATATATATATATATATCATATTATAAATATATTATGTTTTTCAGATTTGCACAGGAGTTAGTACCATTTGGAAGAACAATATTAGAGTTATTGCAAAAAATATTGCAATGGACAAGCACTGACTTACAAAGTCAAATGACATTTAGCAATAGTAAACCTTTTAGAAACGTAAAAATACAAGCTTATAGATGTCTCAGTTCATGGTTGATGAATACCAGTTCATTGTCGGGTATAGAGACAATTGCAAATGAATGTCTTATTTTCATGTTGAAGGATATAACACCAGAACGAGATCGTATATTATTAACTGTAAGTTTCAGATATGAATTAAACAATGAACAATGTTTATTATAAATCTAACTGATACATTTTATTTAAGAGAAAACTATATATATTAATTATGAATTATAAGCTAACTATATATATTAATGTCTATATATTTAGAAGCTAATAAAATAATACTTTATTATTCTGTTTTAGATGCATCAAAAAATGCCGCATTTATCTAAACGAGGGATAAAACTTTTTAAACAGAGTCAATATGAAAATATCACAGTTTTGAATAATGAAAAAGGTTCTACTAAAAATTTGGATGCAGATTTGTGCAGAGTAACTCTTATTACTTTGCAGAACATACTTTCCAGTGGTACCATTCTGTTGAAAGAAACATTTTATAAGGTAAATTTATCTAGGTTTATTTTATTATAGTGAAACATTTCTATAAATCAATATAATATCTAACCATTTCTTTTAGACTGTGCTAGGTACTGTGATTCCTTTATTATACAATCTTTATTTAAGTTCTTCTGAACAAAACTTTTATAAAGAAAACAACAAATGTCGCTTGGAATTATTCAGAGTATTAAAAGCCTTGCAAATGAATCCACATATTACAATAGCATTTCCCATACAATATTGTCTAGAAATATCGCATATGGCAACTCATGATATTGATGTAAACATTGTTCAAGAAGCAAAACTTGCAATAGCTGAATCAGAAAAAATTATACATCCTGTTGCACCTACATTACAATTACCTCGACAGCAGTAAGTTTCTCAAGTTTTCTATGTCGTGTATGTATATATGTGTAAACGATAAATTCTACATAAAAATATATTATCAATTTGCAGGGAATCTGATAATGAAGTTGAATTTGAAAATCATGTAGAAAAAGTTGTTGCTGCTAGCAAATCAGACAAAAGAAGTTTAACTGAGGAAGAGCAAGATGCAATATTATCTGCACGTAAACGGCCCAAAATAAAATGTGTTGAAATAATACAAAATGCAGAAAATAGTATAGAATTAATAGAAGTGAATAATAGCACAACAAATATAGATAAATCTCAGACAGATGAGAATTTATATGAAGATATTAACAAGTTAAATAAAAATGGTAGGACTGAAGAAGAGCTTCCTAAAGATACAGATGTTCCTAAACGAATAAAGTACTGAAACAATATCAAGTGAAAATATAGAATTAATAGAAACGAATAATAGCATAAAGGATGTAGATAAATCTCAGGCAGATGAGAATTTATATGAAGACATTCAAGAAGAAGAAACTAAGAATATATTACAAAAACAATATGAAATACATTATAATGAAAAAGAAAATCACAATATTGATAAAAGCATAAATTCTACTATCGAAAATGAAATAGAATGTGAGTTAATTACTCATGTTAACACAAAAAAAGAAACACAACTCGAAGGTTTAATATCGTGTACAAATGAAACAGAAAAAAGAGTGGAAGAGTTTTCTCTCCAGAAATTTTCCGGAACTGCTGAAGAAATATATATGGAGATGGATGATTCTGAAAATCAAGAAGAATTGAACAATACACGAGATTCTCCAGATCCGTTTCAGGAAGAAATAGATTGGCATAATTAGATATATTTTTTATTTAATATATTTTTCTACAATAAAAATATATATATAAAGTGAAAGAAATGGAGAACACTTAACAATTTAACCGAATCTAGGTAAATAGTTATTTGGCAATAGTCTGCCATTCGTTTTATTTTGTGTAGTATTCTCTTTATTCGGTTTTTCGGTATTCTGATTGGTCGATTTGTTTGCCGTATTGAAACCAGATGTGAGATTCGGGACAAACTCGTTCATTGTATTGATAGGGTTCTGAATTACAGATATCGTTTCTTTGGCACCTTGTTCTATTAATTGGAGAGGCACTTTGTATAAACTACACATGGGTGATTCTAATCGTTCTGGCACAACAGTCCACAATCCCATTTCGCAGTATCTAAGAACATTAACATAAACGTATTAACAAACAGTTTAATTATGTATCATCATTAATGAATATGTAATTTGTACATTTTTTGCGGTTTTACCTAAAATTATTCATAGTTTTCGGATCCGTCGTAATACTAATGAAAGAATTTGTTTTATCTGAAAATTGTGGAATTTCAGGCATCAAAACACTGCTATTAGAGCGTACATTTGTAGTAGGTACACTAAGCGTGCCGCTTCTTGCGAAATTTGCTATCATATCCGTGAAAATTTCAGTCACATTTTTATCCTCTTCGTCTGGTTCGTCGCTGTCAATTATTTTTTCGCCAGTAATTGTATTTCGATCAAATACGAATCCTAAGTCATCACCGTGATTTAAATTACCTATGCGAGACAGTTGATCATTTTAATATTATGTAAAAGACTACTACTAATTATAATAAAATTTGTTTTATCATAAATTCTACCATTCGATGATTGTTTTGCATCAACAATTGGCAATCCAGCAAGGAAATCTTTAGCGTAGCTTTTTTTTCCTTTATGATCGAAAGTGTATAGAAACGCATTTGCTTTTTTGGACCAATAGTTGACAGTTAGAAATGCAGGAGCATTATAGAGCGAATCAGCTAAAGCTTCTGCGACTCTTCCGATCGTATTCTGTGTGCCATCACTTTCAAAGATGTTGAAGTAGCCACGGAAAGCTTGTGGAACAAAGCTCGATCCGTTTCGCACATTCGGAATAGTTCCTTGCAAATATGGGATGAAATCGTTGGTCAAATAATCCGGAATTACCTTTAATTTATTTAGCACTTCATCTTTGTATTGACCAAAAACGGCACCTCCTGTTTCATCCTTCATAACTCCCGTCAATAGCGGTATAGATGGAAAATTGCCTAGTTTGAAAGAATCCTCCGGCGATGCGGTCATAAAATTTGGAAGTGATCTTGAAGACGCAAAATTAAGACAGTGAGTATAAATTGAATTAAAAGAATTAATTGATTAAAAAATTAATTGAAAGAAATTGAAATTTCAGGATACCTTCCGTCATTGGAGCCTTCTACGACAGGACCAGACCCCAGTAGATTGGATAAACTGGAAACGAAACCTCGTGCAGCTGCGCGAAAGTTTTCTAACTCGGAGTCAACTGTAATTAATTTTTCCACCGGCAATTCTCGCAGACAATGCACTATTTTTCGAGAATCATTCGTTGGACAGCCATTTTTATGCGCTATATGTCTGGCCGTCTCGAAAGGATTTTGTCGACAGCGAAATGAGATAAAATTGAGCCGGACATAGCGATTAAACCGCTGAAACAATCTGAAAATATATGTAATAATTTTTTTTCATTAGTAACGTTAATTAAGAAAATACACATTTATTCATAATGTATGATAAATTATATATAGTTGATGTTACTTTCGCAGAACTTTGACAATGATAGCATCATGGCAGAACTTGCGCCGGTACCGTGGCCGAATGCTATTATTTTCTTTGGATTACCCCCGAAGAAGTGTATATAATCCTTCACCCAATCGATGGCCAGTATCATGTCAAACATCCCGTTATTTCCTGGCATTTCCGGCGTACCTGTACTCAAAAAACCTGGGAACGAGATTTCAATGGAGTCTTATTTTTTTCTTGGTATAGTATATTCAAAATTATATCTATCTCTCAGATAGCTTTTTTTAGTTACCTAACGTTCCCAATCTGTATTGAATAGATACCACAATCATTTTCTTTTTGATCAGATGTCTCATGTCATACTGACATGCTGCACCTCTTCTAAAACCACCTCCGTGAATCCATATCAGTACAGGATAACCGTCGCTGGTATCCGGAAGCGATGGCGTGAAGATGTTCAGAAAGAGACAATCCTCGCTTCCTATGATTTTGTTGGTTCCATCATAGCTAGGCTGAGGACAAGGAGGTCCCCAGGTAGTGGCATTGTATTCTCCTTCAAGATATACGGGTGAAGCTCGCTGTAAATTTCCAAAATTGTTAGAATTAATCAATTTTATTAGTTGTAATTAGTAGTACTAGTAATGAATATAATTAATATTATATAACAAATCTGTTGTCTATAATATATAAAGAAACAGAACACAGAATTTTGTATAAAATTAATTATGTTGTTTTGATTGTATAAAATTAATTACGTTTTTAATTATCAATATTTGTTGAATATATCGTTATATGCAATATGTAAATTTCAACGTTCGCTTCCTTTTACTTTTCGAACTAGATTGATAACGTATATCAGGTTCATTAAAATTAGACTGTTGTGACAGGATGTATCAAGAGATAAAAAAAATGATGTGCTCCATTCGATCACGTCGTCGTGTTTTATATTAATATTAATAATGTATAAAATATACAAGAAGCGGTCTCTTGTTCCTAATATGGAAAAAGCCATTGTTATTATTTGCGATTGCTTATTAAAGCGACGTACACGTTTATTCGATAGGTCATTGAATTTAATTATGACACACATTGTGTCGCAGTTTCACATAACGGTTTAGGCTTATAATTCCTTGCACTTGTAGATGTTATATGAAATATTTTAATTTAAGAGATTCTTTATAATCTAAATATAATTTACAATTAATATTTTTTTCAAATTTTTCCCGAATTCTATTATTAATAATCTATATGTTTATATTAATAGAAATTGCATTGATTAAATATTCATTTCAATAACATAAAATTTATTGTGATATTCGTAATTATAATTCGTAATTCATAATTTTATGAATTTAACACAAGATGAGATAAAGATTTTTAATTATGTTAAAAATGCGCGTATGAGATATAACACATAATAATGAATTGCATTATTGTACAATATTATATTTTTGGTTTTACTACCTGAAATCTGGCTCGGCCTGTCGGTGGTTCCCCAAATCTAATTCCGCGAAAAGTATAGAATCCTTTGTCAGAATCGCGATTGCCGATGATGCGCGCGTGTCGATCATTTTTATTCACAAAAACTACCGGATCGTCCTTGGGTGGCTGCGCGGCCACACTACCGCCGACAATTCTCTTTCGTCTAATCAGATCTGCATCTCTCGCGTCGATGATGATTAGCGAGCAAAGTAAAAGAACGAAGAATGAGACGACGTGTCTATCCATTTCGAACGTGTGAATTAAAATGAAAGAACTATCGCGAGTTCTTCATCGGTATACATGCGAATTAATGAATTTGGTGGGGATACTAGAATTATATCAAAGTTTTCGCGTTCTTTGCATTTCTGGAATTAGATATGACTGAAAAATTATTTTCTTTATGTATATTAATATTAGTGTTTTTAATTTTATATATCGCTTTTTTTCTATATAAAATAAAGAATTCTTTTTTACAGAATATATTGAAAAGCAAGACATAATTATACAGATTTATAAAAATGTCAGAAAGATTGATGCGAATAATTGAATTTTATTAAATATTGATCTTTTTTTATATAAAAATTATATTATATTTTTAACATTTTGGCATTTGTCGCTTCTTGTGCATATATATAGATAACAAATCAGAAGAATGTATAGAATAATTGAAAGCAAGGCAATTAAAAGTTTAATTATAGAAATGTCAGATTTTATGACATTATTATATATGAGAATAATTGAATTTTAAACATCGATCTTTTTGTCGTATAAAAAATTAAAATGACAAACTTTGATATATATATATATATATATATATATATATATATATATATATATATATTATACATATATATATTATTTGATTTTCTCATAAATTTAATCTACGTTTATCATAATCTAACTAAAAGTATATTATTGAAATATATGTAAAGTAAATTAATAATTCAAACAATAATTTTTTATGTGTATGCACCATCAGCTGATTTGAATTGTCATGCATTTTGGCGGGTTGACTACGAAATCAAAAATGTGTTCTGAAATTTGATTGGTATTTGACCATTATTTGACTGACCAATCAGGATAAAGAAATCGTTGCTCGGTATGATTTTCGAACGCATCCCGGAAAGAAAGTACAGTAGCGTCCTCAATCACGATTTCCGTTTTCGCGTTTCTCTGTTTGACGTCGGCTCTTTCGGTACGTGTGGAAGATTTTGCTGGCGTAGAATATCCATATTAATTTATGCGTATGAAACAAATCCATCGAAAGAAATTGAAAATTATATTCTTTCTGCTATTCGTACATAAGAATTTTCGATATTTTCACGAATCGAGAAGATAAATTTGCAATAGTAGAGTTTTGTTTTGAGCGTTACACTTTAAGGTTAACATACGCCAGAAATATTGTTGTGTATCGAATTTTGTGTATGATACAGTAATTTCTTTTTAGATTTTGGGCCATGGGTCGAGTAATTCGTGCGCAGCGTAAAGGTGCGGGATCCGTCTTTCGATCCCACACAAAGAGGAGGAAGGGAGCACCAAAGCTTCGCTCTCTAGACTACTCTGAAAGGCATGGATTTATCAAAGGTGTCGTAAAGGTTTGTAACAATTTTCCAGTCTACTGTAAATAATGCTAAAATAATTTATTAAAATATATTAGATTGACTTTATGAACTTCAGTTTGTTACGAAGTCTTCAACTTTGTATTTATGATGATATAAGTATATCTACATCTGATCACTTAAATGAAGATAAATCAGAGGCTCTTTCTGAGGATACATTTTTGTATTTTTAAAAAGATTTTGGAATTATATGAATATTTATAATCTATTGTTGTTTAGGATATTATCCATGATCCTGGTCGTGGCGCACCATTAGCGGTAGTACACTTCCGTGACCCTTATAAATTCAAGACGCGAAAAGAATTATTTATTGCACCAGAGGGGATGTACACTGGTCAATTTTTGTATTGTGGAAAGAAAGGTACGATAATTTTCGCAAGAAATAACATTAAATCATGATTTAAAGGTAATCCTTTACCAAAGTAGTTATTATAACTATTATTTATAAAAACTTATTGCATATTAATTTTCTAATATCTTCTTGAATTTTTCAGCCAATCTTCAAATTGGAAATGTGATGCCAGTTGGTATGATGCCTGAAGGTACTATCGTCTGTAATTTGGAAGAGAAGACTGGCGATAGAGGTCGATTGGCTAGAGCTTCTGGAAATTATGCTACAGTAATAACTCATAACCCTGATACTAAGAAAACTAGGGTAAAGTTACCTTCTGGTGCAAAGAAAGTCATTCCCTCTAATAATAGAGCAATGGTTGGAATTGTCGCTGGTGGTGGACGTATAGACAAGCCCATACTGAAAGCTGGCAGAGCTTACCACAAATACAAGGCGAAGAGGAACTGCTGGCCTAAGGTATGTTTCCTGATTTTATTCATTTTTTTCACTATAATAGTAAAATTTAATTTTTAGTAATGATGGTAATTATGACATTTGAAACCTGAAGCGTTTTATGTAGAAATTTTTTGACTGAACAAAATGTGAACTCATTTTTAGATTTAGTTTAAAGTTTGTATATTGTGTCTGAGACGTTTTAAATGTTTCTAGGTTCGTGGTGTTGCTATGAACCCTGTGGAGCATCCTCACGGTGGTGGTAACCATCAACACATTGGTAAGGCGTCTACTGTCAAGCGTGGAACCAGCGCAGGTCGTAAGATCGGTCTTATTGCCGCTCGTCGTACCGGCCGAATCAGAGGAGGCAAGACCGACACAAAGAAGGACGATTAGATGCGAACTATTCATGTTTTGCCACACATATTGTACAATAAAAAAAAAGAAAAATATTTACAAAACGTATTTATCGCATACTCGAGGTGACTCTACAAATTTTATAATATTAATTTAGAGAAATAGCGCTTGAATTGAAAATTGAAGTTGAACACAAGGAAAAATTAAATTTTCCTGCATCTATATTTTAATCAAACAACATAATTTTCAAACATTTGAAATTTCAATATTAATTTCATATAAATTTCATAGTTTTCATTTTTAATTTGCAGATGTAACTATACATTTTCTGCACACACGCATGCAATTTTTTTCTAATTAAAAAAATTAGTTAATATCACTAAAGTTAATTAAAAAATTGATATAATTTTTATTCATATTACATCACATGTTAACTATTGATATATAATATGATATGACAAGGAACGGGTGCTAAAGAAAGGAATCTATAATTGGATCTTTGATTATATATATTCGAAGAGTCAGATACGTAAGCTTTTGATGCACAAAAAATAAAGAATAAATACTCAGATAAAGAGACCATCCACATCGATGCTGATGGTACTTATCTGTATCATAAAAAAAATTTCAACATCTAAATACGACATATAAAATAAAAAAAATATGTATAGCACCGATTTCAGATTCTCGAAAAAATTGTGAAAAAAATGTTTTAACAAGATCAGTCGGCCCTGATAATAACTTATTAATTTTTTCATCCATATATGACATGGAATATATAAAATAAGAAAATCTATATTTCTAGCATAAATTTCGGAATATATACATGTATCTCGAACACGAAGGGTATATTTTTTTCCTTCGAGGCATTTCGCGTCTCCTCACTTTGATATCCGGCGGAAGCGCCACTATTTGTACCGATGTGCCACCATTTTGCTGGCTCGTGCCTCGGTCTCACGGCCATTTTTGTTGCGTCGACGTCAGTGTACGGCCACGGGCCTCTCGCGCTTTCCTAGCATTACAATTTAGCAAGTTATCCACGGAATCTCTTCGTAATCGCGTGTAGCGAGGGACTGATCCGGCACGCGCCGTTTTTCGGTAAAAGCGAGAAAAGGCCGTCTGTCGTCGCAGAAACTGTCGGCGAGAAGCGTAAATCAGGCCGCGTAGACAACAAAGACAGAGAAGAGGCAGGCAGAGAGCGCGTTGGTTGGGACGCGTCGAGAACTTTTTCGGCCCGAGTGTGAGGCGCGCGTGTGTGTGTGTCAGAAGAGACGGAAAGAGAGCTAAAAGAGAGCTTCAAGCGACAGAGCTGCGAAAACTACGCACCGAGGCAGAGTAATATGAGTAATGCAGCCAACCAGAATGGATCAGGTCTAGAGCAGCAGGTAAAAAAAAAAAATTAAAAAGAGAAGGAAAGATATCCGCTCGCGAGAAGAGACTTCCGCGAATCCTTTTCCTTCCTCCATTTTTCCTCCGATTTTTCGCGTCTCCGCGAAATTCCCGTTCGAGAATTTGTCTCTATTCTCTCTATTCAAGGTAAAATTTTCCTTTATCCGATCGAAAAGCTGACCCTTCGCCACGAGCATCATGGGCCATCGTCACTCGGACAGCTCGTGACGTACGCTCGGTATAATGGCGGCAAGCGATTCCAGGAACGGCATGCCGTGTTTCATGACGTATACGCGTTCTTCGTATTCTGTCATTTTTTCACGCGCGTTAATTCCGCGATTAGATCGCGAGCTTGCGAGAGCTATATATGTATATATATATATGGCCGGATTTTTGAGACACCTATCGAAGGAAGTGAGTCATCCTATAGTTTGGACGATGACTGCATCATGGACTGTTTAATTACTTGACTTGCGGCTCTATGAAATATTTTAACTTGAATCTTTCTTCTGTCCCTTCAGTTAGCTGGTCTGGACTTGCAGGGCTCCCGCCAGGGTCGCTACGTTCCACCGCATCTTCGTCATAAAGCTGCAAGTGAGTGTATGTAGAATTTTTCTCTAATTTAGAAAAATTAAGTTGTTTCTATTTTTGTTAATAAATATTGCTCACGATATCTATGGAAAAGCACTCAATGATGTAGCGTTATAAATGGAGAGGAAAGAAATCGAGTCGTAAAGCTGATGAATGTATTCTTAGTCAGTATACTCTCTCGATTATCTTATCATTTTTGCAATAAAAATACTTTAGTGTTGAGCATTGCTACAGAATGCAAAAAGTGATATTTATGTAAATTAATTCTCTCTTTTTTTTTTTTTTAGGTAATCCACCTTCGGATTTAAATTATTCTTCCAATTCAAGATCGTTTGGCGACAGAGACAGAGGTGGAGATCGCGATCGTGAAAGGGACCGGGATCGTGATAGGGGCAGAGGCGGTTATCGAGACTCACGAAGTCCTCGAATCGACACTGATTTCGCGAACTTTGGGAGTTTCGGCGGGCGCAATAGGCGCAGTCAGGAAAATGGAAGGGATTTCCCAAGATATCCCAATTCTGAGCGCGATCGACCAATTAGTGGTAATGATCGCTGGCAGGAGCCTACTAGAAATGATCGCTGGCAAGAGAGAAATGACAGGATGGGTGGTAGCGGAAGATGGGGAGACGATAGAGGTGGCAGAGGAAGAGGCGAGGTCGACTGGACGATACCGACTACCAGAGACGAACGATTGGAGTTGGAGCTGTTTGGTACTGGCAATACTGGGATTAATTTTAGCAAATACGAGGATATCCCAGTTGAGGCTACCGGAGAAAACATACCGCCACACATCACATCTGTGAGTATGGTGTATAATGGATGAAACTCATCACTTTTTTTCTTTTTAACCAGCTTTAATGTGATTGTTCTCTTTAATTTTCAGTTTGACGAGGTTAAGCTGACAGAGATAATAAAGAACAGCATCGCCTTGGCAGGATATGACAAGCCTACTCCAGTGCAAAAGTACGCGATACCGATCATCATCGGACGCCGTGACGTGATGGCCTGCGCTCAAACTGGGTCCGGTAAAACAGCGGCCTTTTTAGTGCCAATATTGAATCAGATTTACGAGAGCGGGCCGCGACCGCCACCAGTGCAGGCGAATTCTTCTGGTAGGCGTAAACAGTATCCGTTGGGACTAGTATTGGCTCCCACGAGGGAACTTGCTACGCAGATATACGACGAAGCGCGGAAATTCGCGTACCGATCGCGTATGCGTCCCGCGGTCGTATATGGCGGTTCCAATATAGTAGACCAAATGCGCGAATTAGATCGGGGTTGCCACTTACTTGTGGCAACGCCGGGACGTCTGGTAGACATGTTGGGACGCGGTAAAATCGGCTTACACAATTGTCGGTAAGATATACTAAGGTGATAGCATAACAATCGATTTTCCTAAAAGGACGGTGAGATTATATCCTGTTATTCTTATTTTAGATATTTGGTTTTGGACGAGGCAGATCGCATGCTGGACATGGGTTTTGAGCCGCAAATAAGACGTATCGTCCAAGAAGACAACATGCCGCCGACTGGAGAGAGACAGACTCTCATGTTCTCTGCTACTTTTCCAAAAGAGATTCAAATGCTGGCTAGAGACTTTCTTAGCAACTATATTTTCTTGGCGGTTGGTCGAGTAGGTTCAACCTCCGAGAATATTACGCAGAAGATTGTATGGGTGGAGGAACATGATAAACGTTCATACTTGCTTGATTTATTACAAGCTAGCAACTTTTCAGATCCTAGTAAGTTCCAGTATTGAGTTGGATTTAAATTAATATGAAAAATATTCCATTATTAATAATTCATTTATAATTGACAAATTATATTTCATTATAAAAAAAGTTAATGTTATATACTTTTATTATTTTATAGCTGCAGAGTCGCTTACTTTGGTGTTCGTTGAGACAAAGAAAGGAGCTGATATGCTTGAAGAATATTTGGCCTCAATGGGGTATCCAGTCACTAGTATTCATGGTGATAGAACTCAGCGCGAACGTGAAGAAGCCTTGCGTCGTTTCCGCGCGGGCAAAGCACCGATTCTGGTTGCAACTGCAGTGGCGGCTCGTGGTCTCGATATACCACATGTTAAACACGTCATCAATTTTGATTTGCCTGGAGACGTTGAGGAATACGTTCATCGTATCGGTCGTACTGGTCGTATGGGCAATTTAGGTTTGCTTCTTTTTATCTTAAAATTTAAATCTCATAGAGTTAGAAGGAGAGAGGGAGTTATGGATTATCGAAAAATAGATAAACGATATATTGCATCTTATTTTTTATAATTTAGGTTTGGCCACTTCGTTCTTTAATCACAAGAATCATAATCTGGTACGCGATTTGGTGTCTTTGCTTATCGAAGCCAATCAGGAACTTCCACCCTGGCTAGATGACATGTATACCGAAGCCAGATATTCTGGAGGTGGATCTCGACGTCCCGGAGGCGGCGGTGGCGGCGGCGGTGGTGGCGGCGGCGGCGGCGGCGGCGGCGGTGGCACCAAGGGACGATTCAGCGGAGGTGGATTTGGTGCAAGAGATTATCGTCAACAACCCAGTTCTGGACCTGGTCGTAGCAATGGACCCTCTCGACCTAGCGGTTACGGAGGTAAATTTCAATATCTCTGATTGAATAAAAATAAAATAACTACGTTTACAAAAAACAATTATCACGAGGAAAATGCTTAATCATAAAAAAAAAAAAATATTTGGCAGGTTTAATATTCTTTATTAAAGTGCTTATTTTATTTTCTTTGTTACAGGTGGTTATTCAAGTTACGGAGGTAATTATAATAATTCATCGTACAATAATTCCACTAACAATGGCAATAGTGGCCCTGATTGGTGGGGAGCATGGGATAAGTAGACGATTATTTCCATCTCTATTTCTACTTCTATCATTATTATTATTATTACTGTACACGCAAATTCAATTATATGTAAGGAAAATACACGACATTATTACGTCTGACACATTACAAGCACGTGTTTTGCGCGCGTTATATACATAAAGCGCAAAGTACAGACAGTTTCATGTAATAATACGTATTCACGTTTTTGCTAACTGCCTGTGCACATCGATTTTTCGATGTAAAAGCAGAAAAAGAATACTTATATTGTTTAAATTTCCACTATATTACACATTTGTTCATGCGCGACGTTTGTGACAAATCCTGCGTGCAATTAAGTATTCTTGCCGGTGAATGACCGGGGGAATATTTCGAACGTAAATGATCTCACCATACAAGAAAAAAAAGCGAGTATCATAAATGGGATTTGTTCAACACTATTAGTTAGAGATCCATCCAACATTTCGTTGCCGTGACGTGCTGAGAAACACACGTAGTATATAATCACTAACGAATCAAATCGATAAATCGTTAATGCCTGTTTGAAGGTAATGACGATGTAACACATAGTAGATGGTGAAACTTAGTAAATTTTTTAGAACTCCTGTCGAGACTATATGGGGCTCATTGTAGCTTTATCGTTTATATATATATTTTTTTTCTTTTTTTCCATAGGGGTGCGGTGGGCGTATCTTCGGCGTATCTATCAATGCTCGGCACATGTTGTAAAACGTTTTATAATAAACGCTTTTAATTGTCTTTTGCTATCGTAATGGCCAGTAGAAGAGTCGCGCAGTTTTTCTTCGAATGCATGACATAATTCTTTGGTTAACAAATATGCACGTTCATTAAATGGCCTAGGATACGCCCAATCTCCGTCACCACCATAGATACATGACGATTCCTTATTATTTTTTTTTTCCTTAATTTACTGCGTAGTTCAGCGACGAATGGTACTTTGTTATTTTGCCGTCCCCAGAGACAGATATTGCGCCGGCAATATCATAAGTTTTAATTGAATAAGCCACGTGAATTTTTCGGGGATCGAAGATTTCGATATCGGCAAAAAGAGCAACACACATGCACAGGCTACGTCTTAAGGTACCTTTAGAAATTTTACATTTTGTTATAGTCTGATATGCATATATATATATACTGAAAAAAAATTTATTGAATTCGAATAGGTATATTTATTTCAATACTGCCTAATGAATTATTTATTTGAAGCTAATAATATTGATTTGATATGAAAAATCTGATATGATTTATCTGATATAAGAAAATCTTTTTCAAAACAAATAAAATATTTATTTCAAATAAATGATTCATTTAGGAGTATTTAAATTAATATTTATTAATTTAGTCATTTTTTTTCAGTGCACACACGCATATATATATACATGTATTTTTTACCGGTTATAATTTAGTAAATTTCAAGACGCGCTTTTATGCAGTTTATAGCCAAGAAGTTATTTTCATAACTTTTGCCATTGCAGTGAGACCTCGATATTCATGGCGATTATATAATTGAACTTCTCGATACAAAGGAAAAGTTTTTGAATTGATAAAAAATAGAGGTTTATTTGATTATATATAAAGAAATAATGTGTGGCTTATATAAAATTTTTCTTTTTTTTTTCCCGCAACCTCTTTCAGTTACGTATATTTCTTTTTCATGATGTAGACATTTACTATTAGATCATGAAATTTTTTTAAGGCTTCTTGTCTTTGATTGATATAAAAAATTTGTATACTAAAGAAACGAGAAATCATGAATTTTTTTCTTGCAAAATACATTGAAAAATAAATCGGTCTTAATATCATCATTCATGTTTAATAATATAGATTAATAAAATACGAAAACTCTTTTTGTTTTTATTTTGCATTAATAAATGTGTGTATATAACAAATCGTTTCTATATTTTGTGTAAAAATGAACTTTACGATAAGATTTCTTAATTTATCAATTCATAAATAAAGAGTTTCTCAAGTATTTTAATAATTAATATTATCTCATGGCTCGCTTAGATCATAATTTAATATGTCTGTAGTAAAAGTACAGGAGTCTTAATCAAAACTAGTGAAAGTATTAGAGAAAAAAATATGTGCAATATGGAGGTTTCACTGTTCAAAAACGATTAAATATATATATATATATGTATGTTTTAGTGGAAAGCAGGTATATATAAATATTTTATGTACCTGAACTGGCTTGAGTAGTTCTACAGACAGAATTGCGTTGATTCTACATAGAACTATGCTTCGAATAACATTTCTAAACGTAACAGAGACGTTGCCCTGCGAAATTACGGTACGGCGCTTATTAAAAAAAAATCTTAGTCTACAGTACCGAATGCGAATGTGTGAGAGTTCTCATGAAAGATAAATTATATTGAGACTGGTTAAAAATACGGTTGCAGTTACAGAGGGATATTAAAACCTGCTATAAGAGCAGAAGGGAAGAAATGAGCTCAACTTCATTAAAAAAATAACAAAAGGGAAAGAAAACAAGCGAAAGCCCCTTGAATAAGGAGATACACGGGGGCGCACTCATATTATTTTCTAGCTGTATTTATCAGTATGATATACGCGCTATATATAAATACATACAACTAAAATAATTGAAAAAAAAAAACGACTGTGATATCGAACGATCTTGTGACATTCAATTTCCATGCGAATTGATAAATGTGAACAATTAACGGAATAACAAAATACATTAAATGTATTACATTAATCAGGTATTGAATGTCGGGAAGGTACTAGCTCAGTTTGAACTGAGAACGGAATATTAAGTCGTTAACAGTAACACACACAAGACAACGTGGCTGTTGTCCGATCAAGGGAGGGCTGAACGCTAGGCTCTTGTGGTCCCGAGGGACCTTCCTAGGGCATTGTTTCTGCTTAAAATAATGCGCATTATAACGATATATAGGTGAGCTCGCGAGAGTCATTACCGGTTGATATACTGATGGTGTTGGTAGGGCTTTATAGGATGTCGATATCGTTTCGTGCAAACGTCGGATTCTTATCTATCTAATCTACCGCGAGAGAAGGGGGGAGGGGGGCAAGGGGGGGAAAAAGTACAAATTCGATTTGCGTCACAACCGACAAGATTTTTAGACACACGTCATACTTATACCTGTTATATTACTAGATTTAATAGTGCAATCGCGTGCGTGAATCGTATGCCGTGTGACCGTGGACCAAGATGTGTGAATGCCTCTTTTTACGAGAGGGATCGATAATTATTTCATCTAGAAACCATTCGAGGGTAGCGTTATAAACGAGGTAAAATATCGTTGGCTTCCGACCGTGGGTGCGAGTGTTCTCAAATTTTTAATACGATTCGTCATCGAGGCTATTTCGTCAGCTCTCGGAGGCCCTGCCAAGAACATTAAGAGAACATTATTAAGAGAGAATCCTTCGTGGACAACGATACGTCGATTCTGTCTACTATGGCAATAATCTCTGTACGAATGTCTTGTCAATCGATCACAGATTTTGCCATACACGTATATAATTTGCAAGAAAATTTCGGTTCCGAGACTGGTATTAACATATAACGCAAGTCTTTGCATCTCTTTTTTTTTCTTTATTTTATTTCGTATTATTTTATACAACGTGACGAAAGAAGAGAGAAAGGGTATCAAATAGTCGTTGGATTTTAATGAATCGTATATTGCATACACGATACGAATTTCAAGGAAAGAGTAAATTTCACGAAATTTTTTTGTGTGTAAACGGATTATGAAGATTATATATAATGATATAGATCAAATTTAATGTTACACGTAGACCTGATATCATTTTATAATTAATCCTTGGATGCATTAAGAAAGCTTTTTAAGATCTTGCAGTCTTCATCCTTTTATGTGATATATACTTCTTATTTCTTCAATTTAATCTTTTTTTTAAGTATTAATTTTTAGCGTAAAACTCGGAGCTAACTTCTGCCAGTATTTTCAATTTAAATTATACTGAAATTATTTTTGTATTTTTTATGAGGTTGTATGCATCCAAAGATTAAGATTCAACTGTACTACCGATGCGCTAGGCATTCATAATGCGTTACGCGTTTTAATCAATCCTATGCATTTCGAAACAATATACTTTTTGTTTGTAACTAACATGGTGGACAGAGAGTATATATATATATATAGAGAGAGAGAGAAAGAGAGAACAGTATATATACTTACATTATATATACTTAAGGCTATTTCCATATTAATGTTTCCTATTTTTTGTTTTTTTACTTTTTTCCAGTGATAATATCCATGATATTGATCACACACCCGATAGAAGAATTTTCGCTTTATATTTACAGTTATAAATCTTAGGACGAGTAATGTCAAACTTAGGGGAATCATTGAACGTTCCTGTGAGATAGTCAAATGTCCACCGTGTAGTAACTATAAAATATATATATATATATATATATATATATATACATATACATATATATATATATATATTATAAATTAAAAATATGGTACTATGATTTATATAGCGTATTAGTATACTCTTAGCGGGGAAGAGTTAAAGAACGATGTAATAAAACGATTACTATTTATTGATCGATTTAGTATTTATTTTCTACGTTTACACGTTTGGAAGGTAAACAGTAAATATCTTCTGTACTGTGTACTGTACTTTTCGTGTCATGTTTGGTCCTCTGAAGTATATCGGACGAGCAGCCTTAGGAAAAAAACACTTTATACGTATACATACAGAGAACGGGATGATATTCAGACGAAAGATTAATTTAAAAGAATATTTGAAAGAGCAATGAGAAAAAAAGAGGAGGGAGAAAAAAGGAAAAGCGATAAAGAGGGGCTATCAGTTTACGATGAATTAAAACGGGAAAAAGAAGAGAAAGAGATAGAGAGAAATAGCATTGACTGTGACTGCAATCATTACTGAGGGAAGGAAAAAAAATTGCACAATCCGCAAGGAACACATTACACATTGTAAGCCGTATTATGTAATAATGCGATGCGTGCGCGAGATTATAAATATTATGCCGCCATCGAGCGCGGAGAAATTGTTCACGTGCGAGTATAGTCTTGTATTTTTTATTATTTTACACACACGCGCGTGTGTGTGTGTCGGTGAGCGATTTCCGATGACACCTGTCGAAGGAGAGAGGGACCGGATGCTTCATCATTTCACCCTTCCTTCGAAGAATAGAAGCGAGAAGAAGAAGAAGAAGAGGAAGGAAAAGAAGAAGAAGAAGAAAAAGAAGAATGCGTTATATATCTTGGCGATATTTTGGGACACGCGCGCGCGCGCGTTCTCGGATAGAAGCAAGGCGGGATGGCAAAAGAAATGTACGTCTTCTAACTTGTTCCGAATGTTTCGATTTTGGGGGGTCGAGGATCGTCGTACGTTAAGGCGGGCTTAAAAAGTGCAAGAGAGAATAGAGCGTGAAAATCGCAGCGGTGCATGCGAGTAATATATTATTATAGTATAGTAATATATTATGAGTGCGACATATGTGATGTTGCACGAATGTATGTGATGTCTAATGAAACTGCGTGCGACGTTCCTCGCGCGTTTTTTGCTTGTAACCGTAATGATACTGCTATAGCGTTTACGTCACACCTTGTCGACGAGAGAAAGAGTATCTTAAATACGGAACGGTAAATGTACCATTCTGTCGGTCTCTTATTTAGCAATTTATAATGTTTACGCGTTTAAAACTAAATTTTCGAAGCGAAATCGAATCGAATATGCGAACAAAGATGAGCGAATGTTCCGATGAACCGTTTACGCGTACGGTTCTATCCCAAATAGCAAACTGACGTCATTAAGTGTCAAAATAAGATCAAAATGATGTATGCTTGCTATTTGGGATATATATACATATATATATATATATATATCTATTATATGCATTGGATAAATTAATGAAGAAAAAGTGTCTCGGAAAGTGCGAGGGAAAGAAATTGATCAAAGAAAAAAATAGAGGATCAATGTATGTCGTACACTTATCGTTCATTAGCAATAAGTTATTGTGCGCGTCGCAAAGCGCGTGTACATATACTTCTTGCATGCGTAGATACGTATGCTCGTGACGAATGATGTAGAGTGTCAATATTGTTACAGAAATACCTCATACGGGACGATCATATTAATTCGGTGTTTTTTCATTCGGTGAATTTTTTGTTTATTTATATAGTATTATATGAAAAGAGAGGAAGAAAAGAGCGAGTGAGACAGGAGACCTACAAAAATGAGTATAATAAAGATCACAAAAGAGGATTAAGTGCGAAGTTCTTGTTTATGCGTCCTACTATTCACACGATTCCGATATCCTTGTACAGAAAAGTAATTAATATATCGTTTTAGCATTCATACAAAATTAGAAAAATGTGTGTCGAAAATTATGAAATTATATTAAAATTATCAAATTATGTATAAAGTAGCGAAGCAGATTTAAGTTCGATCGTGCCTTAAAAATTTGTATATTATTTTCTTATAGTTTTTTTTATAAGTATTACATTTAAATTCTGATTAAATTAAGTCAAAGAAGAATCTGATATATCTGCTTAATTTGCGATTTATTTGTTTACATTTATAGAAATTAATTGTGAAAGATCGTTTAATGTCAATCGATTGGATAATTTAAAAAAGTAACATTTTTGCATACAAACAATTGTGAAATAGTTTTATTTTAAACACAAACTTAGAATAGTCTGTTAATTTCTGACATTTAATTTTCCCGCGATATAAACTCGCAAGACTGGTTTTCGATTCGACTTGCGATGGTAGGGAGAAACACGATACACGTGTAGCCAATCGCGTAGGACCACGATCGCAATGGCGGCGTGGCTGGACAGTTTTGTGTTATCGGATGGTTAGGTGTCATTAGGTTCTCTCATCGCGGTCGAATTAATTTTCTTGATTAGAACGTTGCTTCGTTGCGCCCGGCGAATTGATTTTTCTCTCAGTCATGCACAGACTCCTGATAGTGATATTGTTGGATTTAACTCTTGACTGTACGTATTCCTAACCTTTTTAAGAAATTTAAATAATGGAACACGATACCTGTCTTCGTTATTCTGGAATAATAATTGACAACGATCATTTTTTTCAGTGGTCGGAAGTGTTTCTCAATCAGAGATCAATAAACATCTAGAATACGGTAGAGATTTCCTAGCAAAGGGCCAGTTACAGGATGCCCTATTGCATTATCATGCAGCCGTTGGTAAGTTGAATTATAAATTAATTGAACGTGATTTTAAAAAATCACATTGCTAAATAAAAAAACTTTTAATTGACAACTATTGTGCTAGCGTAGAAAAAAAATTGAATATAAAACATTTCTTTGAATATAATACATTTCTTTCAGAGGGAGATCCGACCAATTACCTGACATATTACAAGAGAGGCACAGTTTATTTAGCATTAGGTAAAGCAAAATCTGCTCTTCTCGATCTTAACAAGGTTCTAGAATTGAATGAGGACTTCACACCAGCCAGATTGCAGCGTGGCAATATTTTACTCAAGCAAGCTCACTTTAATGAGGCTGAAGCAGACTTTCTATATGTAATATTGTTTTCTTTATGCATTCTGTGTACAGAGTTTAGTTTGCATATAGGAATTCTCATTTTTCTTCTTATTCCAGATATATCATAGAGAGCCGCATAATGAGGATGCCTTGTATGCCTTAAATAAGTTACAGACAGCTAGTGAAAGTATGAAAATAATTGATCAGATGTTATATAATGGTGATCATGCATTAGCTGTACAGCAGATGACTCAAGTCCTCGAAATATGTCCATGGTCCTCTAATCTTAGAGAACGTAGAGCAGAGAGCTATCTTGTTCTCGGGGATTATATGAGTGCTATATCTGATATACGTTCAACTACAAAATTGCTGTATGATAATACAGAAGGATTCTTTAAGCTTTCGACGTGGTTGTATCGTCTTGGACAAGTTGATGAGGCACTAAAGTGAGTATTTAGCTGTCAACATTATCATTAATTTATTTTCATTAAAATGGGATTATTTGTTTTATTAAAATCTGACATAAATTTTCAGAGAAATTCGAGAGTGCTTAAAACTTGATCCAGATCATAAGGAATGTTTCCCATTATATAAGAAGATCAGAAAGATTAATAAATTGCTACAAGATGCAGAGACAGCATTAGATACAAAAGATTATGACACATGCATCGATTTGGCTCAGCGTGTTAAAACGCAAGAGTCGGAGGAACGTAACGTACAGTTTATAGCTTTTCAATATCTTTGTAAATGTTACACGGGAATCTCAGAAGCAACCCAAGCAATCGAGAATTGTCAAGCAGCATTAAACATCAAAAGGAACCGGAACTGATTTGCGATAGCGCGGAAGCGTATCTTTCTGCGGAAATGTTCGATGATGGTAATTTAATTTTTAATTTTTAAGTTCCCTTATTTTATTGCGATGTGCACGAACTTTTCCATTTTACATAATGATTGTATAACGTAATAACAACCTTTTTCCTTTTTCATCTCTCAATAGCCATCAGGGAATATAAGGATGCTCTAGATATAGAACCAAACATGCACAGAGCTAAGCAAGGATTGAAAAAGCACAACAACGTCAGAAACTGTCGGAAACTCGAGATTATTATAAAATCTTAGGCGTATCGAAAAATGCCAGCAAGCGAGACATCATCAAGGCGTACCGGAAGCAAGCGCAGAAGTGGCATCCTGATAACTTCCAGGAAGGCGAAGAGAAGAAGCGTGCGCAGAAAAAGTTCATCGATATTGCGGCTGCCAAAGAGGTCCTTACGGACGATGAGAAGAGAGCGAAATTTGATCAAGGCGAGGATCCTCTGGATCCGGAGTCGGGTCGACACAAGCAGGGCTTTAATCCCTTCCAGGAGTTCCATCACTTCCACGGTTCTCCCTTCCAATTTAAATTCCACTTCAATTAAACACGTCGTAAGATCTCGTGATAGTGAAATTACTATTTTTCAATACTCGTCGCTTCGCACGTGACGATATCTTTTATTTCGTCATAACCTGAATTTCGTTCTCGTTACGTCGTCGATGGAAATCGCGAGTTTTGTAATCTATCGGACGAAAATTCGGGAAATTGTAAAGCAAATTGATGAGTCGTTAAACACAGACCAATAGCCATCTAGCCGGGTGACGCACAGATCCCGGTACGCGTTTAATAAATTAGATGTAAAGATAGACTTTAATTCTATCGTTCGCTAGTTTGTTTACTGCAAAAATTATAATACAGTACTCTCTTTCTAGTACAGTACATACATACAGACTGAACGATGAATATACTAATGTACTTCAATTCACGCAAACATCCGTTGCGCATATGATTTTATCATCGCACCACCGATCTGTACTATGCTACTGGTAAAATTGTGATTGTTCACGTGTATTGCAGTACAAACAGATTGTACAGTGATCATTACACTGCCACTGATTGTTTCAGCGGCTATTCATTTTTAGCTTGGGAACGTGCGACAATTAAATCGAATTCGAGGAATATTATGCATTTATCGAGTACGAATATTCTATCGGTATTTATATCGTTATTTACTTTCGCACATACGATATTCATACTCGATAACATAATATATAACTGTGCGCTTGTCATGTTCGCATGAGTGTGAGTCAAAACTTCATGTAAATACTGTGTTTCTGAGATATTTGTTTAAAAATATATTTGAATAATTTATATACCACTACAGAGATATATAGAAGACATTATTAGCGTACATGTAAAGAAAGTATAAGCGCGTTCAAACAAAACGTTGAACTTTTTGCTCAAGCATTGACATTTTCTATAAGCTTTCTGTTTGACATTAGATTTATTATTATTTTTCTTTTCTTTTAACAAAACTCTCTTTCGTTGTTCGCGTAATTTCTTCCGTTTTCTCAATCGTTTTTGAAGGTTTTTGTATTTACCTAATTGATGCCTTACCATATGACCTCTCCATATCGATTGAATAATAGTTGCAGCTCTGTTCAGCTTTGCTTCTTCCCACAATCTTTCCTCTTCGATATCACATTCGTCGATCAATTTTTGCCGTTTCTCTATTAAAGCTCGCATTTCTTCTATCTTTAATTTTTGTTCTTCTATAAGAAACTATTGACATGAAAATACACTCGTGAATAAAGCTATTTGAAAATACGCTATCATTTATATTACATTGTATTTTTATGCTATGCCATTTTATTTTTTTTTCATTTTATTCATATATTTTTTATTTATATACATATATATATTTTTATATTTATTTTATTTATATTTTAATAATTGTTTGTTTTCACTTAATATTATTTAAAATAAATTAAAGCTCAAAACTTATTATATTACTTATTACATTTTCAACGTCTGGAAAAATCTTGAAACGTGAAATGAATGTTTTTCTATTGCTCTACTATTACTATTCTCTTACATTAATCTTCGAACATACCTTTAAGTCGTCGATTTCCTGCTGCCGTTCCACAATTTCCTCGTTATATTTCTTTGTCCACATAACTATCTGTTCTTCTTTCTCTTTAATGTCTGCCTCTAAATAAGCGTTCATTTCCGTTGATATAATTTGCTCCGCGTTATGTTCCTTCGAGTAGTCGCTTAATTTATTTAACATATCTTTCTTTTGTAGATGCAATTTGAGTTCCTGCTGTTCCAGTCTAGCCTTTGCCCATTTTTCCGCATAGCCTGAACATAATAATATCAATCAAAAATCATATTTATATATGTATATGTGAATAATTTATCTTATACCTAATTTTCCGCTATTTAAAAATATCGCATGGTCGACTTTCGCGTCGCTTTCCTGTGCGAGTTTCATCATCTCTTTTTGGTCTTCTTCATTAACTTTCTTGTTGGATTCCAGCAATTCCTGAAGTTCCTGAGCTTGACTAAGCTTGATCTTGACGTTTTCTTCGAGATTGCGTTCGTTTTCCTGTCTCTTTATGATATTCTCAACTTCTTTTTGCAAACTATCGAATCTGCCATTGTTTTTATGTCGCGAAGGACATTCTCGAGGACTTTATACGCATAATTCCTAAATACAGATTTGTTAAAGATGTGTGTATGCAAATTAGGAAAGATTTGATGTGCATTTTCGAGACTTGAAAGATTTTAATTTATATATCTATTAAAAAAATACCAAAAATAGTATTTTTACATAAAAAATATATATTAGCATATAAAATCTTTTGTGGAATATTTTTTCTTGATTTTTAAAAATTGCCTATATCAAAGATATGTTGAAACTATTTGAAGTTTGCATAATGGCTTAAGGAAGATGTTAATCCGTGCTTTTACGCACCTATCTCTCTGCATTTTTTCAGCTTTCGTAGGTATGATTGGTAAGAAACCCATTTCTTCCCTGAAGATCGTTCTAGGTTCGTCAGGTACTCCATATGTTTCGTCGATCGTTTTAAACGTGTCGTCCCAGCGTGGATCAACTTTGGCTGGAATCATGAATCCTATTATGGCGAGCTGATCTAAACATTCCTCGAGGACGCACGATATAGCAGTCGCTTCCAACGGAGTGAACGATGGAATTTCCATCTGCATATTCTGTATCCCGATATTCTCTGAATTTTCTACTTTCGGCAGCGTATCCACGAACGACTCCGCAACTTCCGAAGATATGATTAAAGGCGATTCAATCAGACCTGATGACTGAATAACAGAAATAGCAGATATTATTAGATGCAAGATGTTGAGGACTGTTAAATAAAATTACTGGTTTAGATTTGACAGCAATTTTTCAGCAAAATATATTTCTTATTACAAAATATTTTTTATTTTATTATTTTGTATATTGTATGATGACGTATTTTATATTAAAAAAATATATTTTTTTATTTAAAATCACATTATTATATTTAAAAAAATACTAATCAGTAGCCAAGTTTTTTAATTTGCCAAATTTTCATCATAGAAAGTGTGATACAATTTGATTACAGATACGAAAACTTCGAAATAATGGAGATATTAATTATATATCTTATAGATTTCTCCCAATAATTTAATATCATTTAATGATTATAATCAATGCGATTTTTATTTTTGTCACCTTATGACGAAATTCATTAGTTGTATCCAACGTAGCTGGAACATTCGGCGATAAATGTGTATTAGCTTCATGATCGATGATTATATTTCCCTGCTGTTTTATTAATTCTTTGCCTTGCAATCTTGTTGCGTATGTCTCGAAAAGCAAATCTTCCTTGGCTGGTTTCTTCGTATTTTCAAGGTCGATATTTGTAATGTCAACCTAAATATATTTATATATTATTTTATATATAGTTTTATTTATAAGTATAATTTTAAATATAAAATTAATTTTTTTCGTGATAGATATCATATATATGTATAATTAAACATCTCTAATTAAATTTAATTCTATTGATCTCATTGCGGTATAATAATATATTATCTTACTTTCTCGTCAGCTCTAATGTTCATTCTAGAGATTTTGTTCATATTTTGCATGAACACGTCGGCTGTCTGTTTCAGTGTTTTTTCAACGGCATGTCCATCCGATGCATCGTCGACGATGATTACATTCCTACGAGCTTGTTGAACTATTATCGAGGGTAATTTATCAAGCGCGATGTCCTTTTGAAATGCTTGTATGTCTTGGGATACTTTCAATTCATTTATCATTGTCGGATTGTGCTAACATAGCAATTACATTACATATTATTAGGTCATTTGACATAAAATTCAAAAGTTCAATAAATATAAATTTAGAAAGGAAAAGAGAATTGATTAATTTAATACAACTAAATTATTACTGCGCCAATCAATCAAAAATTATGACATTGCATTAAAAAATAGTTGTATCATTAACTGAGATTTAACCTACGAACTTTATCTTTTCTGTCACTTTTATTTTTTATCGTCAATTAGTATATCTGCCAGAAAAATACAGAGTGTGAGAACACAAAATATTGGCACAGAGATCTTGGGTTTAATTTCCTCCCAAGTCATATTGTTGAATTTTTGCTATTGTCAAGTTTGTAAAAATTTGAAACTATATAGGTAATTTTAAACAAAGAAAAATCGATCCACATGAATGTCACAAGCAAAGGTCAATCTTTCGTGTATTTATGTTTTATTATAAGTACATACATACTTTTTTGATATATTCATATAATAAGCTATAAAATATTATAAAAAATATAATTTTTCTTTTATAAATGATGAAAAAATTTTCTCTCTTTGCTTGTCGCATGTATAGGATCTCGTCAATTGTATTGAAAATAAAAGTATATTTGATAACAGTGATACATTTAATCTACAAATATATTATACTAGCTAAATGTATTACAGGAATCAACACTTTTCATTTAATAATGACTATATAGTGTTTGAACACGTAGTTTTATCTTAACAGTTATATTTGAGAAATATAGATAATATGACAAATAATGTAGTCTCTTTTATTAGTATTTAAATCTTAATTAAAAATTCATTTTTAGTTCATATATTTTTATATAAAAAAAAAAATAAAAAAGTTATACAGAAACTGAAAGAAAGGCTTAAAAAGTTTAGAGAAGGCCAGTCATAGCAAATAGCAAATTTCAATTAAGTTTATATAAATCTTAAAATTGGTATCGCACGCGCGATACATTTGTACTTGCTGCTTTTATGTACATATATATATATACGTATTATATTTATATATATTCATTACAAGTTAAATTTTAAATTTATTATGCTTTAACGACAAATGTAAATCTCATTGCAAAAATAATTGAATATTAACAATCTCTAAATTGGCATTCTCTTTAAAAGCTATGAGAAGAGATAACATATACATAATATCTATCGCGCAAAAACTCTATTAGATATGATATGATATGTTATCTATTCTCCTTACATAACATTACTAATAATAAACTCTAGTAATTATTAGTTCTTAATAAAATATCTGAATTTCATAGTTCAATAATACTTTGCCTATAGTTCCTCTGTCTCTTTCTCTTTCTAGCCTACGGCTCTTACTTCATTTTCTATTCTATGCATTTTACTCGTTACCATGTGATATATCACTTTATTTTACATAATATGGCTATTGTCATGGTAATAATAATAATGTAAGAGCCTTCGTAATCTATATAGCTCATTTTATCGTGTTTACATACATTACATTTGAATGCAAATTAGTTGTAACTACGCGGCTGTAAAAGCGCATTAACGTTGATCGATATAGATTTATATTGCATGTATGTGTACATAATTATATGCATACATATACCTATTAATAAGGTGGAAGTATATTTTCTGTGTGGAGCAAGCATTCCTCATTGTTTCGAAATTATGAACTTCTATATTATGACGTTGAATAGATCGGTTTTTTCTTATTATTGAAAATGCTATTATCGATTCGATGTTTAATTAATGCGGAATATTTTGATTGTACGCTCTACAAGCGTCTGCTACTCACCTAACAATAATGAGTATTTATTTTTTGAAAATACCGATATTTTACACAAAGTAACTGGTATATTCATGAGGCATTACACCTCTTCTAGGATAGAACGTATGACTCGTGGAATATTCTAATAAATTTGTAATTGAGCTCATATAGATGTCGGCAAATCTAAACAATCTTCTGGAGAAATAAGATGGATTGTGATATGTTCTAAATACTGAACCGAATTGTTTGTTGAAGACAAATTTGATCTCATTTCTTAGTTGGTCCCGTTCTTTCATCCATTTATCTAACTCTTCTTGTACTTCGGGTTCTTTGCAATCCTGATGTTCCTCGATTACACCAGTTAACATTTGAAGCCAGTTAGCGTTTTCTTTGTACTTTGATTCGTTCAAGGTTTCGATTTCATGCTGTAATATAATATGTAATTTATATTTAGATTAATTTTTCTTAAAGTTTTGATATTCTTTCGCGATAGTAAATTAATTTTATTCAGAAAAAAATTAATAAGACTTTTGCTTAAATTACCGTCAATTCTTTGATTATTGCACCCGTTCGCCAACCATGTTCTAAAGTTACATCCGCCAAATCGCTATATGGATGATCGCCAAAGTACAACACTTGATGTCCTCGCCATCCAGTCATGTCTTGAAGCTGCTTAACTGTTCCCTAAAATAATTCATCATTGTTAAAAAACTGTATAATGTAATATTTCAAGTGTGTGATTTTTCAATGATGTGAGAGCAGAAAGACTCACTTCAAGATATATGACACCCTTGTCGAGTTTAGTGACTCGATCCCATAATTGTGTTTGCTTAACTTCATCGTAAATTCTCAAAGGGCGTGATTCTTCGGTAAAAAATCTTGGTTTCCTCGCTTGAACAATCACTACGTCAAAATAATTCTTCCAATTTTCGCCGACTAAAAATTGCATACCCTTATTACTGCAAAACGTTAAGAATTGTTTAATCATTATTATGTTCATATAAATATTGTATAATCTGAATTAAAATTATTAATATTTTGGAAACGTACACAAACTGGAAAGGGCTGTTTGTGACCAAGAACATTTTCTTGTTGGCTTTTCGAAGTCGATCGAAAAATCTCCTTAAATCTTTATTTGTTCTAGATACTCAGACACATTTTCCGCCACTAGTTTATGCATTATAGGATGGCAGCTTTGCACAGAATTCTAGATATTGTATAAAATTAATTAATTATTTAAAACAATTAGCTATAATTTAGAATTAGTATAATTTAGTATAATTTAGAATTATATTGATTATACGTTCAGATAATACGGATTTACCTTAACATCTCTAAATAATATCTCTGGATGATAATCAATGTGATTTTGCAGGAAGTACTCTGTAACATTGCACAGTAAACCCATTTCTGGCACCGAAAATAAATCGGCCAATTGTACCATTTTTGTGCGACGTACACCATCCTTAAAAAATGGAAAAATGCGCTGTTAGAATCTTTTCAATTTTTATTATATATTGTAAACAGAAATATACTCACTTTCTACATATCAAAATGCCATCATCAAAAACATACATGTTGACACATACAAATAGAGAAGATTGAATATTTTTAGTATACTTTAAAGGACTTTTTTACAAAGGGAAACAAATTGAAAGTTTGATTGAGAATTGTTATTTTTCTCGTAGCATAAAAAAAAAAGAAATTTTAAGGGGCATTTCTTGAGAATTAAAAAAGGTGAAATCTCGCTCATTCGTAAGAGAAACAATTTTGTATATTATATATATTTCATGTCTCAGATTTACGACTTTAAGCGGACCATGCATTTATTAAGAAGAAATACATTTATATTACGTGTATATTTTTTATTTTATTTATCGAGATTTTTGTGATTGTTGTGATAAGAAACTTACGTTAGAGTGTTTGTGCGACGCCTCCACGTAAGCTATCGGTATTATCCTATTTTTGTAGATTCGGAGAACCTCGTCGTCGGGTACAGGATGTAATCCACGATAAACGGCGCCCAATTGAATTTGCAAGAAGCTGTCGAGTTTCAGCAGGAGACCCTTTTCGATGTCGTAATGGAGGCCGCGAACGGCGAAATTTTCTCTGTATTCCAGATTGGCAATTCCCTCTGGGTACTGGAGAGGCAATTAAATGAGTTTAAACAAAGTTCAAGATGAAATTCTCTAATCGGAAATGTAATTGTCTTTTGATTTCGGCAGCAATTCTGAATAGCTGTCCTTTGAGATAAAGGCAAGTAGGACGAAGTTTTTTGTATACTTTTACTTTTAATTCTTTCAGTTTTCTCATTTTTTCTCGATAAAATATAGAGATTATATTCCTAACACTATATTTGTATGATAATAATTTTTTAGGTACATACATATATATATACATATACTTATATATATATATATATACACACACACATACTTTTTTTTATCTGGAATTAAACATATTTGTGACTGAAGACATTTTTAATAAAAGTAATTTTTTCATTTATATTATTAAAAAACAAAAAGCATATGATTTAAAAAAGAATAAGAAATTGCGTCAATATAATAAATTATCATATTTTTAACGAAATGAAATTTATCTAATTTACAAATACAAATATAATGAAGACCTTATATTTTTTAATGAGCATATCACGTCCCAGATTGTAAAGCAGATAATCCATGGATGGTTTGTAACAGGCGAGCGTGTAATCGTAATCAAATCCATAGACTTGGACCTCTTTAAATCAAGTTCATTGCAGGCAAATACACCCTTGGGATTCACATCTTGCGGAAGTTTTTTCGCTGAAATTGCAACAATATAAATAAGTTAACGATACTATGAACTTTCGAGTTTCAAAAAATTGCACATTTGAATGAAAAAAAGTCTGACCCCTAATAAATAATATATGTATTATAATATGTATTATAATATGTATTATAATATATGTATTATAATATATGTATTATAATATATGTATTATAATACAGTCATTTTTTTTACACTTCTAAAAAAGATTGGAATCTCCTAAATACGTCGCTATTGTTCTCGATCTTAATTCCATGCGAATTAAGGTCCTTAATTGGAATGATATGAGAACTACAGTTATGACTTTTTCAGACCTAACAGGCGATCAATTTGCGCGGTGCTCTCGTTTCATTCTACAGATGGGCGATACACACAAGCTGATTTTCACTGTCCTAGATTTTTCTACCTATATATTCGTCTCTGCTTTCGTCGTGCCGTGAGAAACCGATCTCCGATCTAAATCTAATCTGTCTCCGTTGTTTCCTCTCTCTTTTCTTCGATCTCTTCTTTTTCTGTGCGGCCTCTTTATGTCGCTCTTTTCGGCGCCGTCGCGGAATAATTAATTAAAATGAATGAATATCCGATGAGCTAAAAAGTAATGGGAAAAGATAGCGAGCCTCATCAATAATTTATGTACCATTTTTTTTATTTTTATCTATTCTCTCGAATAACTTGCTTGATGTGACTTAGCACGTCTCAGATCGTCTGTTTATATACAACGATAAATATACTTAGTATAATTAATAGGTTTGTCAACGCGAACGGTTTGGCAGAGATACTTTTAATCTTAAATCTCGCGGTGCTTACGATTATGTCATGTTTTTCGCACCCGTAACAAATTTATGTGAATGTGCATCGAATAAAAATGCTTTTCTTGATGACTCTCTATTTCTATAATTTATCGAATTCAGCTCGGCGAATTTATAAATAATAATAAGTACGCGTATATAATTAACTCTTTAGTTATATAATTGACACGGCCTATGCATTTGTCATTCGGATCTGCTTTGAAAATCGCGTAAACGAAAAAAAACATAGTTTATAATAATTATCGCGAAGCATGTAATCTGTAATATTGAACGTCCTTCATAGGTATGTTATGAATAACAGGAAACGAGTAATCACGCACGTTAATATAATTTTTCTTGGACACGTGACGAAATACATCCTCGGCAATATGCCAGAATCGCAATGAATCTCCCTATCGTCGCCAAATACTAATATATCTCTCTCTTCCATTCACATTTGAAAATTCGAGAGACTTAATTAAATCTCATATCTTAATTAATCCATTCCAAAGATCGTGTAACGGCGTATCTCTCCCTCCGAGGAGGGATGACGAAAGCACGTGTCAATAATAATAGCAATAATAATAATTCTTCCTCCGGCATGCGCGCGCCGTGTCAAGGTCGGCTGCGCGCGTATCTTATCGATATATCGAACGCACGAGACGGAGAGATGCGCATGCGCAGAGCGGGGTCGCGCGTGCGAGCGAGACGGATGTATATTTAGACGTCGAACGACGCGAAGGACTGGCATGGCCGCGGAAGTCATTGATGGTACTTACACTTGCACTTGTCGAACGTTCTCAGGTAATTCTCGCGCACAACCTCGCGTGACACCGGACCACGATTGAGGGCGCGATCACCCACGGCGCGTCTCGGCGCCCCATGGAACCCGACAATCCGGCGTAGCCGCGCGAGCCGAGTTTCTGCGACGCGACACGCTGTCACGACGGTCCTCGCGTGCAGCATCACGGACGATTGGCGGGCGCGCGACGCGAACCAGCGCGGCGGCGCGCGGCTATTGGCAGTGCTGCGCGAGCGGCCGATTCGAATCGAGGCGTCGTCACGAGTCAGGGAGCGGCTTTCGAGACGGGCGACTCGACGCGCGAAAGTCGAACGCGCGCGATTGGCTGCGCTGCCGCGCTTCGAGATATCGCGATCGAGCGTCGCGGCGTTCCCATTGGCCGACGCGGGTATCGAGACTCTCGATGCGCTCTATCGATTCTATCTCGCGTAGTTTGACATTTCGTTCTTGATTATCCGTCACTTTCGAGGTTCAAGGTTGCGCGCGAAACGCCCGCGTGAACGCCTCGTGTCGCGAGCGAGATGTATATATATATTACTCGCGTAATAATATTCCGCACATATATATGTATATATATATGTGCGGAATATTATTTATGTAATAGAAGGGTTATTTGAGCGGGTTAACTGTGCTATTTGTACTCAATCAGTTTAAACGTCATATACGTATTATTATGATGACGGCAGATTGTTTCGAAATCGCGGCGTCTCTTAGGCGGACATCGAGCATTTACGATGGCGACTATTTTAAGGTAATGTTCTCGAAACATGGTTAGATTTCCTTCAAGAAAGTTTTGAGATATTCAAAAATTTTCTGTTATTAATAAATATCAGTTTTGTGTTCGTTCTAGAAATATGATTTCAAGGAAACGATCTTTAAGATTTGTATGTGGAGAGAATTTTTTGTTATATTTTATCGCAAAATTCAATACAAAGTTTTATCATGCTTGGTAATAAGCCAAAATTATTATAAATGATTAAGCTGGATTGCAAATATGCTGCACTGTAAAATTTATATAAAGTATTTTATACATGTATCACTTTTTTAGCATCTGTTTAACTAAAAACACTTAAAGAATTTTTTACTTATAATTTTTAATATATTTAAAATTAATTAAACATTTTTTATATTTTATTATGGTAGATATTAATCAAAGAAAACTCTTATAAAATTCTTCCAATACCATATTGTCTCACGCGATTATCATGAATTTTAGGCTAAATTCTAAAAGAAATTCTCTCTGTGACGACGAGACATTTTTTGAACATTTTAAAGTTTTCTTTAATATTATTGATATTTATAATATTATTTCTATAATATTATTTATGATTGCATTTTGGTTTTGTACTTGTAAAATAATTCTAAGTGACGTATTTTTAAATATTTTCCGTTGTAATTGATATTATTGTGGCTTTAATTATGAAATATTTTTTTTGTTACGATAAATATATAATAAATATTATAACGAAGATGCGATAGTATTATTTAGCTATCGATCTGATTTGTATTATTCTTGCCTTAATTATGAAATATTTTATTCGCCACTGATAAATGTTATTATAACGAAGATGCGATAGCGTTATTTAGCTATCGATCTGCCTTTTTTTATTTTCTGTAACTCTTCGTCGAAATAAGATTCGATGCTTTCGATATTCAAATGCGCTATATCCGGGAAAGAAAATGTTACACACGTGTCTCCTTCATTATTTGATTATTTGATTCTCAAGTCACAGAGTAAAATTGATCGGGCCAATTTCGATTCTATTAAAATACTCCCGCGTTCTAACGCGCTACGTGACGTTAGATATCCAATTAGGGTCGACCAAATGTTCGAAACGCTTTGGCGCCTTTAGAAAGCCAAGGCGGGCGATATCTGCCCGCGGGATCTGTATTCCGTGGCGATTTCCTTCCTTCCTTTGCTTAATATTTTCCTCGCGCTGGCTCGAGAAATAGGTTAATTACCGCACGAAAACCAACCTGCGTGATTTGAATGCGGCGATCTCGCACGGAGGTTTTTCTTCTCTTTTCTTCTTCTTTTTTAAGCGAGTTAAATACCGGCGCGAATATTCCCAGATCTATCCCTGTAACATATACCAGGACGTTCTAGGATATTTAACATACTTCGCACCTGATCCTAATCACGCGCTTCCAACCGGTACCGATTATAGGTACGCCTCTATATTTAATGGGCTGGACGTGTCGATGGTATGATTAACGATCGCGATTGTGTCATCTACCCGGTTCTTTGATCCGTTCTGCATCCGTGTCTATTCTGCCGTTATCGGTTTACTTTAACAGACCAGATAGAAAAAAGGCAGATAAACGTCAATTATCCTGGGCGTGCGATTATAGGAAGTCATCGGTTAATGAAATGGAAGAGTGAAGGAATACACAAAGAAATAAATTATACTGTGCGTTACAAGCGGCTTTCAAACGACGCGCTTCGTATCGATAATACGGCTCATTAGAGGAGTAAGACCGTCAAAGGTATTTTGTAATATGGCATTTCTCTCTTTTTTTCCTTTGTTTATTTGTGTATTCTTCCTCTTGTGCCACTTGCGAGTATCGATTACACGTCTTTCGATTGCGCACTCTCCGAAATAATGGCAAAGCAATGGGAAAAAGACACATCGCGTTAAGTTAATAATCTTGTCAAAGAGTAACGTACTGGCTTACGATATTCAAAAATGATTATTCATTGCTTTTTGATCGATGGATGTCGGAAGCTGCACAATTTTCCAACATAACCACATCTAACCATCTTGCTGCTATTGGTGACACGCGACCTCATTGCCTTAATCTAAACATAGTCTCCGATCCTCGGTCATTGTACTCTTCTATAATAATATATTTAATCGTATATATGTATATTCTGTATTATCTCGAGCGATCGTGGTTACTTTTCCGACATAATTATGATTGTGAGTGTTATATAACAGTGTGTTATATACATTTTAAAATTTGCGTTTATTACTCTGATATTCTGTGAATATATGATATATAAAATTTATAATATATAATATATATGTAATTTATAATATATATATATAATATTTATATGTAATATATATAATATATAATATTTTATATTATATATACATACTCTTTCTCTATCTCTCTCGTCTCTCTCTTTTATAACTTACAAAGTTAATATTATTTTAATAACGTCATGTTTTATAAAAGTATGCGAGTTTTACACGGACAGTTTTTTTATCTCTCTTTGATAAAAATGAGACGAATAAAATTATAAATTTTTACGATCGAATTTTTGAAATACTAGTCGTTGAATTTGGACTTCAAATATACAATTTCACAGTACAATCGAATTTTACATTGTAACAAAGTATGCGTACATTCACAATATTCTCTGCAAAATGTCCCATACGTTTCCCGTGATATCCCGAGGCACTGAATACACATCCTGCGTCTCTATATTGACAGTTTCAGCAGAATCAACGTTGTGCACGTTGCTGCTGAAGGCTGGTTTGTTCGATGATCGTGAATTTCATATCCATGTGCCGCGTTAAAAAATGGTAGCTCGACTTTTCATTCTTTCACTGAAAATATGTTTTACGCTCTCGCTCGAACTTCTTATATTATTCGACGCTTTTCATCATGATTCCATATTTTCCTTGTATCAATTATTTCTGATTAAAGTCTGATATTTTTAATCGTTATACTTTCATCATCTTTGTGCTAGAAAGGTAATTTAAAATAAAATATTTGAACAAATAATTAATTTTTTAGAAAAGATTTGAAAAATAAATATTTTGGAGAAACATAAATTTGGGAAAATACTTGTCTCTTTTTAATATCTGAAAAGGATTTTCGAATGTTGTGTTGCGAATAAATCTTTCCTTTTTGTCGAATTACGCATGCACCATATTACGGTAATACTACTATCACATATCTAGCTGCAACGAGTTATGCGAGCGAGATACGCTAATTAGCTGATAATTGCGTTTGCAATTTTCGATCTGCATTAATCTGTTACTTAATGGTTCACACTAATTTTAGTTTGCGGCCATTAAGCTGATCCATTTCTTCGCGGATCGTCGAATTTGCAGCAGTACTCGGTAAACCGCATCCATTAATTAAGCAAAAATAAACGAACGAGAGTCATGAATAAGATTCAGCCAATTGGTTTAAGTTACCATTTTGCTCGTTTTTCTTACAAAAACAAATCGCCGGTTTTAGTTATTTATAGGAATATCTTTAATGATTATAATTTTCTTTATTTAGTCATTAATTATGTTGTTACTTTTTTATAACTAAAAGATTATTTTTTTAAGTTGAATATAAGAACAAAAAATGATTTGATATGTGTCGATAATTTAGAATTTTTTGGGATATCATCTTTTTTTACGCGCGTGAAAAATGACAAAGGAATGTAACTCTTTCTCATTTGTACATAATACAATTGGAATGTTCTTTAGATCTCAGATTATTATCAAGCCGGAAAACGATGTGTTTAAGATTTCTCCGGAATACCGAAGCGAATTGTATATATACTTCCTGTATAAAGACACTGTTGTATTTCCCATCACACGGATGACTTGGTTTTTATCGTTCGCGTTTCAGTTCTTTATAGTTTTCTAACAATTGCTCATATTTATCTTCTTGGTAGACAGAGGTTAATTACAATCAGAGAGACCGTGTTAATAGTATCTGGAGACTTTGTGTTTGCGCGTAGTGTGATTCTCTCTGTTAATGACAATGAAATGTAATCTAAATATAGGTGTACGCTGATGATGCAAAACCGCTTAAAGCAAACACGTTTTTGGTATAACAAGTGTGTTCGGGACAGCAACTTTCTATATAACACAATAGTAATGGGCGATGATCGTGTAAACATAGAAATGGTTTTAAAATGTGTCAAATCACATCGGGGGTTTCAAATAAAAAAAAAAAAAACCGAAAAAAGATGTAAAAGTTAGTTAGAAAATTAGTTTAATATGAATGCTTTGAAGCATAATATTCACTGTGAAAAAAATAATGTTAATATAATTAAACGCTTTTAGTTCATGAAATTTTTTTCATTGAAATATTTAAATGTTTAAGTCAAATACACTTCAGTATTGTTAACTAAGTCACATAATTTGAAACATAATATTTTTTCATATTGATAAATATTTGTTTGACAACCCGTGACCGCCGCAATTAGTTAGATTAAAAAAAAATTTGTTTGGTTGAACATTATTTT